TCGTGAATTTCACTGACTGGACACACCCTCCGGATCTCGACCCCGACTTCAGCCCAGGAGGCTTCTGGTACTCGCACACCATTCCTGAAGCAGAACGAACACGAGCATTAGCAACAATTCGACAATCGGCAGCAGTAACAACATCGGCAGCAGCAACAACATCGGCAGCAGCAACAACATCAGCAGCAGCAGGAACAACGACACCAGTCACAGTCGACGAAGCACCACCAACACCCGCGAAACAGCTGAATCCGACTCAACGTGAAGTCCACCGAAGCGCCAACCTCGTCGCCAGCTTTTACTCCAACTCCGACGCATATCAGCGTTCACCTGGACACCGCGCCTCTGAAGAGATCTGGCACGCACGAACAGGACATCCAAGCAACACGGTTTTGAATAACACGATAAGAGCAGGAGTCCTTGACAAAGATTCTCTACTTCTACCCGATGGCAGAGAACTCCAGAAGGCACGAGGGACTTGCCTTATATGTCCCGAAGCTGACTTACCTCATCGACCGTTTGCTTCACATCACAACCCGAGCGCTCCAGCGTACGCACCACTCGAAAAAGTCTACAGCGACATCCTCTACAATCGCGAGCCAGGACAAGTCAACTACAACTACACCATCACCTTCATCGACGCCGCCACTCGATACGTCTGGCATCGCAACCTACCCAGCCGCGACATGGCGCTCGCAGCATTCGCCGCCTGGCTACCGATAGCAGAGAGAGAGTCTGGAACACAACTGAAAAATTTCCAGTCAGACGGAGGTGGCGAGTACACCTCTCACCGCTTCAAGCAGTTCTTGGCGGAAAAGGGGATCAAGCAACTCCTCTCCCTTCCCTACGCACATCAGCAGCAAGGTGTTGCAGAACGACTGAACAGGACCCTGCAGAACAGCATGCGCAAACTATTACGTGGCATGCGGCTACCCAACCACCAGTGGCCAGCAGCAATGGACCACGCTGTCATGCTACACAACTTGTTGTCGTCGTCGTCACTCCCGAACAACGCATCACCGCATCTACTGTGGACAGGGAAGCAGGGCAGCACGAAAATGTTACGAGTTTTCGGGTGCATGGTACAGTACAGACCCCCAGAAGCACGAGCGGGAAGATTTTCGCAACGGGCACAGTGGGGACTACACCTCGGCATTGAGAAAAATTACAACGCATGGAAAATCTTCGACGTCCACACAAAGGAAACAGTAGCAGCACGTGACGTGATCTTCTACGAAAGACTCACCCTTCAGACGTACCTCGCCAACTTGCACGAGAATCGGGACCTCACCAGTGGTTTTCGTGGTGACCGAGCCTTCGCGTCAGCAGCGGACGAAGCAGACTGGGATGAACAGAACGTCGACAACGCCTCAGAAGAAGCCGGACCTCTCCCATACTGCTCCGTCGACGTGCCCATGGATGAGGATAATCCTCGCGACAGTAACAACGCCGAAATCTTCTACCGTTTCGCCGACGATGGTTACGTAACACCTGTGACAGTCAACACCAACGAAGCAGAAAGGGTAGGGCCAAATTTCATGCCCGACCCAGAAACGGGAGACGAAGCAGCTTATCCCGAGGATCCAGAACTCCCTCGATACTCACAGACTGGGCTGCAAATCCTCGGCCTCGTCACCGCAGTCCACGGGAACGCACGCAGCTCGCTTCCTAAGGAGCCTGCAACGGTTCAGCAGGCTCTGGGGGGGGAACACAGGGAGAAATGGCGTGAAGCCATGGATAGAGAACTGAAGGCATTAGAGGAACGCAACACTTGGAAGGTTGTTCCCGTAAGCGTGGCACGGAACAAAACCATCCTTACCGGGAAATGGGTCTTCCGCATCAAGACGAAAGCAGACGGCACGATCGAAAAATTCAAAGCACGCTGGGTCGTACGTGGATTCGACCAAGAGCAAGGACGAGACTTCACCGAGACCTTTGCTCCAGTCAGCCGCCACACGTCACTCCGAATTCTCCTCGCCATTGCCGCCATGAAGAAGAAGAAGTTACGGCAGATCGACGTCGCGAATGCCTTCCTCTACGCACCTGTGGATGCAGAAATCTACGTCGAGCTCCCGCACGGTTCCCACGGCGAACCCAACCGAATCTGTCAACTACTTAAGTCGCTCTACGGGATCAAGCAGGCACCGCGACTGTGGCAGCAGTACCTGCACGCCCGTCTCATCCGCATCGGCTTTAGTCAACTACCTCACGACCAAGGCATGTACCGCCTCACTAAGGGAAGCGACTACGTTCTCCTGATCGTCTACGTGGACGATCTCCTCTACATTGGGTCAACCGACGGCATCGCCACGTGGTTCGAAGGAGAGCTCCAGAAAGACCTCACGCTCACGGTCTCCTCCACCGTTACACAGTACCTCGGGCTCAACATCCGCGAAGAAGAAAACGCCATCTATCTAAGCGCCGAGAAATACGCCGACACCATCGCGAAACGCTTCAGCCTCACACCAAGCGCCATCTCCACGCCCTACCGCTACACATCAGGAACCGAGAAGGAACGAACTACTCTACTCAAGCCCGCCGGCATACGCGACTATCAGAAGAAGCTCGGATGCCTGCTATTCGCCGCCGTCACCTGCCGTCCTGACTTATCCTACTCCGCAAGTCAGCTCGCCACCTATCTCAAGAAGCCTGAAGCTGAACACCTGGCGGAACTTGATCGCGCTCTCCACTACTTCGTCAGCACCGCGACGATCGGGCTAACCTACCACAAGAGCGCAGCTACACCGACTAAGCTAATCGGCTACGTCGACGCCGATCACGCCGGCGACACCGACAACAGGCGCTCACGCACCGGCTATGTCTACCGCCTTGAGCCTATCGGTCCTATCTCCTGGCAGTCGAGCAAGCAGGAGTTAATCGCACTATCTTCAGCAGAAGCAGAATATATTGCACTCTGCTCAGCCACCAAGGAGGGACTTTACCTTCGCGAACTACTGGAAGAAGCGAAGCTAGCCGAGTTACCCAGCTTCACCGTGTTCTGCGACAACCAGTCAGCAATTCGCATCGCCAACAAAAACGGCTTCGCAAACAGGACGAAACACATCGCCCTGCGCTATTTCTTCGTGAAGGACGAGCTAGAAAAAGGGAAACTCGATCTGTCATACTGTCCAACATCCGAGATGGCAGCCGATTACTTGACCAAGAAACTCGGCAAGCAGAAGTTCGAATACTGCATGATGCTGACTGGACAAGGCCACGTCACCAGCAGTAACACTCCAGAAGCGAAGGGGAGTGTTGGAAACAATAAGTCCTAAGTGCGCTTCTGTCGTATCAAAAATCCAAGGTACCAAGCGAAGCAGTCCCAATCGAAGCATCGAGTCAACCTCGGAGGTTAGGGTAACCGCCTGGAGGTTACGAGAAAGTCAAAGGTCGCTGACCTTTGACTCGACAATTACAGCGCGACAGTTAAGGACACACAACTGACTCGTTACAGAGCAGTTGCCCGAGTCGCGCTATATCGAACCGCAACAGCAATACAGTTATCTATCTATTCCCTGTACTCTTATATAAATCCTTGTATTTGCTTGTTTAATTCAATCAACTTTGCTCTCACACACCAGTGCAAGGTCGGTTCAAATTCTTCACTAAACGCTTCCGCTATTACAACTACTTCACCTAGAGTTATCCCTTGCAAAGATCCTAAGGGGCTATCTCAGCCCAACACTTCTAAGATTTCTCAAAGCTCTCTGTGCTGCCTTTTGACGGCTCTGCTTGCCTGAGTGCTCTTTGCCTTGCTGCGTGCGCAGGAGGAGACACCTCTTAGTCGGTCTACACGGGACAGCACGCGCATCACCGTGGAGCAACTGCACGGGCTCATGTCACAGGTGAGTGAGGGCGACGGCATGCTGGCATTGACATGTTGGCACGAGGACTACTAGTCCGCATGCCACAAGTGCTGCAAGTGTAGCAAGGTGGATGTTGTGGTGGCTTGAGAGGCACAGGTGCTGCATGCACAGGTGTTTTCGGACTGACCGAGTGTTCCAAGAAATGACTCCATGGCTGCGTTGCGCGTGTATCGCCACTCGTTGAATGCGAGAGCGTTATTTGTGAGTTTGAATGGAGCTCCAGCCAGGATTGAGTGGTGCGACCGAGGAAGAATAAATGGGCGGGGGACGAGGGGTTATAGGAGCAGATGGAACTAGCTGGAAGATTCGAGTGCTGAATGTTTTGTCTGATAGAATTCGGGAAACACAATCATACCAGAAGCATAGTCGAGCATGATTCAGTGTAATGCATGAGCATTTAACAATGTTTGCATACAATCGAATGAGTTAATAAAAAAGATACTTGCGGAAGTGCGCGGAGATATGCGGCAGCGTCACTTTTCCTCACACCCACCGGCGGGATCATATAATTGAAGCAGAAGCAGGCTGCCCAATCAAAACTCTAGCCGCGTCTCGCGGGAGGGTGTGCATCCAGAGCAAGAAGCCGAAAGTGCCTCCTAGTGTACGTTTTATTGCGGTTCTGTGGGATGCTGAATGTTTTGTGGCGATACAACTCGCAATTCAACTGATTCGCTGCCCACTCCGCCAACGTCTCCCCCAGCCCCCCTGCTCGCCCAGCCTCCTCCCGCGGCCCCACCCATTGCCTGCCTCTCCTCCTCGGCTCGCAAAGTAGTTTGCAGCACCATTTTTACGCGATTATTTCAAGCCGCACCAGAGAAGCTCATGGCTCGCGTAGTAGCGCTCGCTGCGGTCCCGCTGGGCATCAATTGTAATAAGCTGCGACGCCACTTCCGTATTTTTTTCACAATTATTCGGCCGCTCGTGCGACAGGTGCGGTGTTACTACTGCAGCAGATCCCTTTCGCTGTTACACCATTGCTGGCATCGCACATTACTAGTATTTAATACAAGGAACTTCGACTCTCAGCACATCATTTGAGCAACATCTCTAATAGCCTACTATACCTCTCAACTCGTCTCGTGCCGCATTTGTCCAACTTGGAGCTACCGCCCGGTATCCATCCGTTCCGTCACCATGGCTCTCCGTCACGTCCTTCTTCTCACCTTCCTCGCGGCCTTCGCGCTGAGCCTCTCGGCTGCCTCCGCTCTTCCCAGCCACCCTAGTACGACTAATCGGCGCGCTTTAGGCAACAAGGGCTCCAAGCCCGCGCCGGCGGGCTACGTGAAAGCCGAGTCGCCGAAGCGTCAAGTCACGGCGGAGATGCAAGCCAAGGCAAAGAAGATCGCGAAGGAAGCGTTCGACAAGGCGAAGAAGGAAGCGAAGGACCCGGAGAATCAGAAGAAAGCGGCCATGGCAGCGGCGGAGCAGATCGGAATGATGGCTCTGAACGCCCTGGTGCCCGGAAGCGCGCACGTGATTGACGCTGCGGAAAAGGCGAAGTTCTTTAAGGAGCAGATCTGGCCCATCATCAAAGCGGAGCTCCAGAAGCTCGAGGACGAGGCGGCGGCGGAGCGCCAGAAGCACTATCAGGCGATCAAGACGCCGCCCCAGACTCCCAAGGGCAAGAAAAGCGGGAAGTGAGAGGAGACGAGGCTTCTGGAGTTGAAACCTGAGTGCCAGAGGAACGAGATATTGGAGGAGCGGTAGTGGGAGTTGGGGGTTTTTAGGATGTGGGAGGGTGGACTGGGAAGAGGGTCTGGCAGAGGGTTTTAGTGGAAAGGGGGGTGATGATGATGGGGGATGATGGTCCAGGAAAGGGAAGGGTTTCCGACTTCATTGCCGAAGGAGGTTGATGTGGAATGAGGAGGGGGAGTGAAGCGGGATGTGGATGCTGGTGATAGAAGGTGATGGACTTGAGGGAGCAGGAGGCTGTAGGTGGGAAAGAGGGGTAGGCAAGGAAGGAGTGTGGGTTACGGTGGGGTTAGTCAGGGTGTGGGAGGAGTGGGTGGGGTAAATGTTGTGGCTGTAATGTCTTGGTTGTACTATCGATTTTGGAACAGCCGTTTGGACAATAATAAGTTATCCACCCAAGGAAATACCACTACTCCAATTTGCTCCATCCTTCCTGCACATACGGTATGCATATGGACTGCAAAGGTGCAGACCTGGTCATGATCATCAGCTTTTAGAGTGTGTTGAGAAGCAGGTACAAGCACAGGGACGGTTGAAGCAGCACAGCAGAGGTGGGTAATGGTTGTTGGTCAAATAGAATTGTGCCCCATAAGTGCGTATTCTCTACTTTTGTCGGTTTTACATGCAAAATAAAACACTATTTTGTCTGTATGGCGTGCATCTCTATAACTCTAAAATGTTGGGTGACGGATCATTCAGTTCACGGATAGTACCGTACCAAGTATGCACTGTCGATGTATGTAGGGTGGACCGAACGAGAACATCAACATACGGTACTCCCTCCCCACCGCACCCCACCACCAAATTCTCCGCAGGAAAATCTAGAGGAGGTTCTTGGAGAGGTGAAATGCTGAGGCCGACTCCATAGCAGCTCGGCATCTCGTTTTGGCTTCCTCTCGAACACTTCCTCGGTAGTTTTCTCACATAGTTTTCCGCTATCACATCCTGTCGTTGTTCCTTCGAACTCTTTTTTTCTCTGGTCGTTTCGCCATGGATTCGTTACAAGCACGGCAGACGTGGGAGCTGGAGAATCGAATCGAGCCGTTGGCGTCCGCTGACGTAGACACGATCTACCGCTACGACGAGCGAATTCACGCGGACGTGCTGTCGCAGAAGCCGTGGACCAAAGACCCGCACTATTTCAAGAACGTCCGAATCTCCGCGCTCGCGCTGCTCAAAATGGTCGTCCACGCGCGATCAGGCGATACCATAGAGGTACGTGTTAAATGCAGCGCTTCGAGAACGCGGAAGTGCCATCGCAGAAGCCGTGTCCGAATCTCGCGCTCGCGCTGCTGAAAATGGTCGTGCACGCGCGATTGGGGGATACGATCAAGGTGCGTGCTTGATACCTCTTTAAACGTACAAACTCGAGGGCTTTGAGAAGCATGAATCCGTTGCACAAGCAGCCCAAGAAAGCATTTTTTTCTGGTTTTTTTTTTGTCACCTCAGTCGATTCAAAATTCACCAGAAGGCAATATCAGTGCGCCTGAACCCGAAAACTGCGCTATGCTCAAAGTAGGCCTAATATTCGCAGATTTTTTCGGTATCGCCCCTTCCCCATGGCAGGTGATGGGCATCATGCTGGGCAAGGTGGTCATGGACGCCTTGACTCTGATATAATCACCTCTGATTTAATCAACCCCATTAACCCTGTCCCTTCCCTCGGCAGGTGATGGGCATCATGCAGGGCAAGGTGGTGGACGGCACAATCATCGTCATGGACGCGTTTGGTCTGTTACAAGCAGGCCCGTTATAAGGCATGTAAACTCTTTCCCCTCTTCCTCTCGGCAGGTGATGGGCATCATGCAAGGCAAGGTGGTGGACGGCACAATCATCGTCATGGACGCGTTTGCACTGCCCGTGGAGGGCACGGAGACCCGAGTCAACGCCCAGGCTGAGGCGTACGAGTACATGGTCGAGTTCACCCAGACGAATAAGAGGGTAAGATGCTGGACACCCTGCCCCTGACTTCAGAGAATAGGGTCAACGTGTAGGAACCAGATTGCGCTCTAAGGTTCTGTAATAGGGAGATGCACCTGAAAGCAGACTTAAAACTCCACCTACAAACGTATTTAAGCCCACAATTCGGTTAGTCATTCTCCTGCACCTTCTCCCAACTTCTTCTACTGCACCCTCCGCCCACTTTTTTCTGCCAGACCCCTCTCCTTCTCCACGCGCCCACCTCCCCTCTCCCCTGCTGGCGGGGCAGCTGGAGGACGTGGTTTGGTGGTACCACTCGCACCTGGGGGGGTACGGGTGCTGTCGAGTGCTGATGCTCCATCCTTCCACCATCCTCCCCGCACCCCCCCAACATGTCCCCTCCCCTCCTGGTTCAGGAGGGGCAGCTGGAGAATGGTGGGGTGGTATAGGGATGAGCAAGGGGCGAACACGAACATGTTCGTGTTCGCCCCTACACGAACACATCCGTTCGCCGAACCGAACATTGTTCGGTTCGGCGAACACTTTTAGCAAAAACAGGTGTTCGCCGTTCGCCTGTGAAGGCGTGTTCGGGCGAACCTCGAACACGTTCGTGTTTGTCGCGGGGCAAATTGCAGCAGCGGTCCGAACACGAACGTGTTCGGGCGAACCTCGAACACTGTTTGGCGAACACTTTAAGAAAAAAAAAACAAACCTGTTTGGTTCGCCTCGAACATGTTCGTGGCGAACCGAACAGGTGTTCGTTTCTTTGCTCAACCCTAGGGTGGTATCACTCGCACCTGGGGTACCCTGCTGGCGCCCCTTTCCCCCCATTCTCCCCGCATCCCTCTCCTCCCTGTCCTCTCCAATTCCTACTATCCGCAGGCGGGGCGGCTGGAGAACGTGGTGGGGTGGTACCACTCCCATCCGGGGTACGGGTGTTGGCTGTCAGGCATCGACATGTCCACTCAGATGCTCAACCAGGAATTCCAAGAGCCCTTCCTTGTGTGACTTTTGAGAATTCTCAAAAGTCACTCAAATACAACCAGGAGTTCCAAGAGCCCTTCCTTGCGTGCCCTGTGCCCACATCCTCACTTCCTTACCGGGTGCAGGCAGGGCCGTTGGAGAATGTGGTGGGGTGGGCACACTGCAAACACCCCTTTCCACCCACCCTCCCCGCGCCTGCTCTTTTCCTTCCCCTACAGGCGGGGCGGCTGGAGAATGTGGTGGGTTGGTACCATTCCCATCCGGGGTACGGGTGCTGGCTGTCAGGCATCGACGTGTCCACTCAGATGCTCAACCAGGAATTCCAAGAGCCCTTCCTCGCTGTTGTCATCGACCCCACCCGCACCGTGTCTGCTGGCAAGGTGGGTCAGAGCACATGGGAAGAACGAGAGGGGAATATTGCGTGCTGCCATGATAGGTACTTGATAAGTACATCGCAACTCAGGTGCTCAATCAGGAGTTTCAAGAGCCCTTCCTCGCCGTTGTCATCGACCCCACCCGCACCGTGTCTGCTGGCAAGGTGGGTATGGGCAGGGCAGGGCAGGGGGCACGGGAGGAGAGAGCGGAAAGGGGTATCACGTGATAGAGCCACGAAAATATGATTATCTCGCAGCGCAGATGCTCAACTCGGAGTTCCAAGAGCCCTTCCTCGCTGTCATCATCGACCCTACCTGCACCGTGTCCGCTGGAAGGTGGGTGCAGCAGGGCAGAGAGGGGACGGCAAGGCAGCGCGCATGGGAAGAGAGAGTGCGAGGGGTATCACGTGATGAAGGCACGCGAATTGGATCTTCTCGCAGCGCAGTTGCTCAACCAGGAGTTCCAAGAGCCCTTCCTTGCCGTTGTTGTCATCGACCCCACCCGCAGTGTACGCTGGCAAGGTACAGTTGGGGCAGGGCAGGGCAGGGCAGGGCAGGGCAGGGCGCATGGGAAGAGAGAGTGAGAGCGGTATCAAATGATTTTTTTGCTATGTGATATTTTCGCACTCAGTTGCTCAACCAGGAGTTCCAAGAGCCCTTCCTTGCCGTTGTTGTCATCGACCCCACCCGCAGTGTACGCTGGCAAGGTACAGTTGGGGCAGGGCAGGGCAGGGCAGGGCAGGGCAGGGCAGGGCGCATGGGAAGAGAGAGTGAGAGCGGTATCAAATGATTTTTTTGCAATGTGATATTTTCGCACTCAGTTGCTCAACCAGGAGTTCCTAGAGCCCTTCCTCTCCCTGCAGGGTGAGGTTCGTAACCCCACCTGCATGGTGTATGTTGGCAAGGTAGGCTGTGCGCATTAGACAGGGGATGGAAAGAGAGGTTCGGTGCATTCGTGAGCACTGCATGCAGCATATCATGCACTTTTCTCCACACTTTGAGCGTTTCACCCTCTCCTCCTTCCGCCAAGCCCTTCCTCTCGTTCCAAGTGGAGATGGGAACGTTCCACACGAACCTCACAGGGTACGCACCCAGATCGTTTTTGGCCGACTGAAGAATCAACCTTTCTCCTTCTGTCCCTCCCCGCCTCTGGTTCCTCTTGGCTCAAAGGTGGAGATTGGAGCGTTCCGCACATACCCCAAGGGGTACAAGCCACCAGATGAGCCGCCATCGGAGTATCAAACCATTCCTCTCAACAAGATCGAGGACTTCGGCGTGCACTGCAAGCAGGTGAGCACATACGGTTTGGGCGGTTGAGTGTGCGGTGCGGGCTGGTAGGGGAAGGGGTGTGAGAGGGATGGTGCTTGCATGGAACCCTTATTCGAGGTCATTGCAACGGTTGTCACATGTCTGTCCCTATTTGCTGGTCTCGTACGCAGGCGGGCGTCCTTGCTTGTTATCCTCTTATGTTAATTTTCTGATATCAAAGTCACTTAAGTGTTTTGAATTTCGACAACTCTCTGACAATCACAACGCGCTATCACTTGACAGTTGCTGTCCGAGGCGCCTCTTGAAGTCATCTCCACACTCCACTGCAGCGCCCATCATCTCGTCTCCTTATACTCCCTAATTTTTCAGTTTTGAGGTGCCTCAAACTGCAACGCCCTTTCTCTCCTATACTCCCCCATTTCTTTCAAATACTCAAGCTTTCACGGAACAACACTTTTGAGGCGCCTCAAAAGTTGAAAGCATCTCCACACTCCACTGCAGCGCCCGTCGTCTCGTCTCCTTATACTCACTCATTTCTTCAGTTTTGAGGCGCCTCAAAACTGCAACGCCCTTTCTCTCCTTATACTCCCCCATTTCTTCAAATACTCAAGCCTTCATGGAACAACACAGTACAGGGTCGACACACCAATCCCCTCTTCTACCCACATCCTCTTTCACCATCTCCCTATCCCCCATCCCCCGTCCCCCGTCCCCCATCCCTCACCCGACTCATCGTGGCAGTACTACTCACTAGACATCACATATTTCAAGTCGTCACTCGACTCGCACCTCTTGGACCTGCTGTGGAACAAGTATTGGGTCAACACGCTCTCCTCCTCACAACTTCTTGCCAACCGTGACTACGTCGCCGGCCAGATCTCCGACCTTGGTATGCTGCATGGAAAATGTGTTTGTTTGTTCGTTCTTTCTTCTTCTTCATTAATAATAATATTAATAATGATTTAAAAAAAAAAGTGGGTGTTCTGTGGGCACCTTTGATGCCTGAATCCCTTCGTTAAATAACATTGTTTGCTTCATTTCTTATGGAATTGAATCAAGGTCCACATCCCCTCATCCTCAGCAATTGGGATCTTCAACCTTTCAACCCTCATTTGGACCTGCCACCTCCCCCCACCCTCCTGGCCCCAGCGGGGTGACTTTTGATTCGACTCAAAAGTCAACTCATTTGGATCTCCCACCTCCCCCCTCCCTCCTGGCTCCAGCGGGGTGACTTTTGAGTCGACTCAAAAGTCAACTCATTTGGATCTCCCACCTCCCCCCTCCCTCCCGGCCCCAGCGGGGAAGCTGGAACGGGCAGAGAGGCGGCTGGCGCGTTCGAGGCGCATTGGAGGGCCATTTGCGCTCAATGTCTGCTCTGCTCTCCCTCCCCTTTTTTCCCACTTCGCTCTCCCATCCTCCCTGCCTGCTTTCCTTCCCATCTTCCCAGCGGAGAAGCTGGAGCAGTCAGAGGGGCAGCTGGCGCATTCAGGACGCATTGGGGGTCACTTGCGCTCAGTGTCTGTTCCCTCACCCTTTCCTCCTTTGCTCCACAACCCTTTCCTCTTTCCCCCCCTTCCAGCGGAGAAGCTGGAGCAGGCAGAGGGGCAGCTGGCGCATTCAGGACGCATTGGGGGGTTTCTGATGCCACCGCAGAGACGCAAGGAGGTGAGTGGAAAGAGGGAAGGAGGTGAGTTGAGTTGGAGGAGGAAAAACGGAGTGGGAGGGAGAAGGAGGTGAGGGTGCGGCGGAGATTTTGTGGTGCGAGTAGGATCTTCAAAAGCAGGTGTTGAAGTGCTTAAAGGGCGTGAAGCCTAGTCTGTTTGCCACAGGTTTCCAGGATTTAAAAATCCTTTTGTGTTTCAATATCACATTGAACATTTTCACCCACTTGTACTTTTATATTTTATTTTGGTGGCACTGTTGCGGTGTTGTGCTGTGGTGGCACTGCCTGAATGCCCTTTGCATGACTACATGTGCAGGAGGAGTCGCCTCTGAGTCGGTCTACAAGGGACAGCACTCGCATCACTGTGGAGCAGCTGCACGGACTCATGTCACAGGTGAGAGTGACGTCATGCTGACATCAGCACTTGCAGCAAGGCGGGTGTCGTGGTGGCTTTAGAGACACAGTTGTTGCGTGCACAGGAGGAGTCGCCTCTGAGTCGGTCCACAAGGTGACAAGGGACAGCACTCGCATCACCGTGGAGCAGCTGCACGGCCTCGTGTCGCAGGTGAGACGCACGTGTCATGCTGGCATCAGCTCTTGCATCACTGGTGAAGGCAGGTCATGCCATGCTGACATCAGCACTCGCATCACAGTGGAGCAACTGCATGGCCTCATGTCGCAGGTGAGACAGATTGGTCGTGCTGACATTAACATTTGCATTGCAGCAGCGCAAGTGCATGGGCCTATGCCGCAACTGGGAGTGATGCTAAGTGATGCTAACTTTCACGGCAGTATCTGCACCCGTCACTCACTCACATCATAGGTGAGGGCTGATCATGCCATGCTGACATCAGCACCTGCATCACAGTGGAGCAGCTGCATGGGCTCACTCTACAGGTGACAACCCACATTATGCCATATCATCCTGCAACTGCTCTCCCACACAGTCTCCAACAGAGAGAGCTGAGCCCTGCCTGTTCATTCATCTTTGTTACCGTATCTCCTCCTCTTCATTCCGTGCCTCTCTTCCGAACCCCATATGCTCAACCTTGGCTGATTTAGGTGATGAAGGATCTACTGTTCAACTCTGTTGCCGCAGCTAGCAAGCCGGATAAGGTCCAATTACAAGCTGCCAGCTCATCAGGGGGAGAACCCATGGTTGAAGCCTGAGCGATCATCATGAGGGTCTGGTGTGGTAACTGATTGTCTGTAAAGGAGGCTGCTGATGTTCTTGTAACAAGGACTTTGGTGTAGCAGATAAAATTGTACTATGACGATCGTATGGCGGAGGTGGATTACCTTGTTGGGCTGAAAATGCCCTTAGGATCTTTGCAGAGGTGAATTCTGGGTAGAGTTGGTGTAGTAGCGGAAGCGTCTTAATAGAGAGTTTGTGAACCACCTTGCGCTAGTATGTGAGGGCAAAGTGAATTGATTAAAACAAAGAGATACAAGATTATATAAGAGTACAAGGAATATGAAAGGGTACGGTTATAACTGTTTTACTTGTTGCTGTTGCGGTTCGATACAGTGACGACTCGAGCAACTGCTCTGTAACGAGTCAGTTGTGTGTCCTTGCTGTCGCGCTGTATTTGTCAGGTCAAAGGTCGCTGACCTTTGACTTTCGCGTAACCTCCAGCAGTTACTTCAACCTCCGAGGGTTGACTCGCTGGTGCCTCGATATGCTCTGCTTCGTTTGTGCCTTAGTGTTTCGACACGACAGAGGCGCTTAGGAACTATTGTTTCCAACACTCCCCTTCGCTTCTGGAGTGTCGCTGACGTGGCTCTGTCCAGTCAGCAGCATGCAATATTCGAACTTCTGTTTTCCGAGCTTCTTGGTCAGGTAATCAGCTGCCATCTCGGACGTGGGGCAGTATGACAGCTCAAGCCTTCCTTTCTCGATCTCGTCCTTCACGAAGAAATATCGTAGGGCGATGTGTTTCGTTCTGTTCGCGAAGCCGTTCTTGTTGGCGATGCGAATTGCCGACTGGTTGTCGCAGAACAGGGTGAAGTTGTGGAACTCGGCTAACTTCGCTTCTTCCAGTAGCTCGCGAAGATAGACTCCTTCCTTGGTGGCTGAGCAGAGTGCAATATATTCTGCTTCAGCTGACGAGAGAGCAATTAGTTCTTGCTTGCTCGATTGCCAGGAGATAGGCCCGATAGGCTCGAGACGGTAGAAGTAGCCGGTGCGTGATCGCCTGTTGTCGGGGTCGCCTGCGTGATCTGCGTCGACGTAGCCGATTAGCTTAGGCGTTGTAGTTGCGTTCTTATGATAAGTCAGTCCGACCGTCGGGGTACTGACAAGGTAGTGAAGAGCGCGGTCGAGCTCCGCCAGATGTTCCGCTTCAGGCCTCTTGAGGTAGGTGGCGAGCTGGCTTGCAGAGTAGGATAGATCTGGACGGCAGGTGACAGCTGCGAAGAGAAGGCAACCCAGCTTTCTCTGGTAGTCGCGGATGCCGGCGGGCTTGAGTAGAGCGGAGCCTTCCTTGTTGCTTACTGTCGTGTAGCGGTACGGTGTGGAGATAGCTTTTGGTGTGAGTGCGCAACGCTTGGCGATGGTGTCAGCGTATTTCGTGGCGCTGAGGTAGATAGCGCCTTCTTCTTCTCGGATGTTGAGGCCGAGGTACTGTGGGATGGTAGGTGAGACTGTGAGTGTGAGGTCTTGTTGTAACTCCCCTTCGAACCAGGTTGTAATACCTTCGGTTGAGCCAATGTAGAGTAGGTCGTCTACGTAGACGATTAGCAGGACGTAGTCGGTACCCTTCGAGAGCCGGTACATGCCCTGGTCGTGCGGTAGTTGCTTGAAGCCGATGCGAATGAGGCGAGCGTGTAGGTATTGTTGCCATAGTCGCGGGGCTTGCTTGATGCCGTAGAGTGACTTGAGTAGTTAACAGACGTGTTTCGAGTCCGTGTTGGAGCCGTGTGGTAGCTCGACGAAGATCTCGGCGTCGACGGGTGCGTAGAGGAATGCATTAGCGACGTCGATTTGCCTTAGCTTCTTCTTCTTCATGGCGGCGATCGCGAGAAGGATGCGTAGCGAGGTGTGTCGGCTGACTGGAGCGAATGTTTCGGTGAAGTCGCGGCCGTGCTCTTGGTCGAAGCCACGAACGACCCAGCGTGCTTTGAATTTGTCGATGGTGCCATCGGCCTTTGTCTTCACACGAAAGACCCATTTTTCGGTGAGTACTGTCTTGTTCCGTGCCACACCGATAGGAACCACCTTCCACGTGTTGCGTTCCTCCAGTGCCTTCAGCTCCTTGTCCATGGCTTCACGCCATTTTTCTTTATGTTCCCCCCCCAGAGCCTGCTGAACCGTCGCAGGCTCTTTAGGAGTGACGGAGCCGTGGACTGCGGTGACGAGCCCGAGGATCTGCAGTCCACTCTATGAGTAGCAGGGAAGATTTACATCCTCGGGATAAGCTGCTTCGTCTCCCGTTTCTGGATCAGGTATGAAATTTGGTCCTACTCGTTCTGCTTCGTTGGTGTTGACTGTCGCAGGTGTTACGTAACCGTTATCAGCGAAGTGGTAGAAGGTTTTGGCGTTGGCACTTTCGCGAGGGTTGTCTTCGTCCATGGGAACGTCGACGGAGCAGAACGGAAGAGGTTCGGCTTCTTCTGATGCATTATCCACATTCTGCTCGTCCCAGTCTACTTCGTCCGCTGCTGAGGCGAAGTCTCGGTCACCACGAAGGCCACCTGTGGGGTCTTCGTCTTCTTGCAAGTTGGCAAGGTACGTCTGGAGCGTGAGTCGTTCATAGAAAATTACGTCACGTGCTGCTACTGTTTCCTTTGAGTGGACGTCGAAGATTTTCCACGCGTTGTAGTTCTTTTCGATGCCCAGGTGTAGTCCCCACTGTGCTCGTTGAGAAAATCGGCCCGCTCGTGCTGCTGGGGGTCGGTACTGTACCATGCACCCGAAAACTCGTAACATTTTTGTGCTGCCCTGTTTCCCTGTCCATAGCAGATGCGGTGATGCGTTGTTCGGAAGCGATGACGACGACAGTAAATTGTGCAGCATGACAACGTGGTCCATTGCTGCAGGCCATTGGTGGTTGGGTAGCCGCATGCCACGTAGCAGTTTGCACATGGTGTTCTGCAGGGTCCTGTTCATTCTCTCTGCTACTCCTTGCTGCTGATGGGCGTAGGGAAGGGAGATGAGCTGCTTGATTCCCCTTTCCGCCAGGTACTGCCTGAACCGCTGAGAGGTGTATTCTCCTCCTCCGTCTGACTGGAAGCTTTTCAGTTGTACGCCCGACTCTCTCTCTGCTACTGGTAGCCAGGCAACGAAGGCTGCGAATGCCATGTCGCGACTAGGTAGGTTTAGGTGCCAGACGTAACGGGTGGCGGCGTCGATGAAGGTGATCGTGTAGTTGTATGTGACTTGTCCTGGTTCCCGATTGAACAGGATATCGCTATACACCTTCTCGAGTGGTGCGTACGCGGGAGCACTTGGGTTGTGATGTGACGCGAATGGTCGATGCGGTAAGTCGCCTTCAGGGCAGGTGAAGCAAGTTCCTCGCGCTCGTTGAAGTTCTCGTCCGTCGGTTAGTAGGAGTGAGTCCTTGTCAAGTACTCCTGCTCTTATTGTATTGTTTAATACTGTGTTGCTTGGGTGTCCCAACCGTGCGTGCCAGGTGCTTTCGTTGGCGCGATGTCCGGGTGATCGTCGTTACATGTCGGAGTTGGAGTAGAAGCTGGCGGTGAAGTTGGTGCTGCGATGAACTTCTCGTGGTGCTGGGTGCAGTTGTTGCGCTGGTGTTGGTGGTGTGTCGTCGATGAGGAGTGGTGTCGTTGAAGGACCAGCAACTGGTGTTGACATTCCTGCTGCTGCCGTTGATGGTTTTGCTGCTGTCGATGTTGTCTCTGCTGCTGGCGATGTTGTCTCTGCTGCTGCCGATGTTGTCTCTGCTGCTGCCGATGTTGTTTCTGCTGCTGCCGATGTTGTCTCTGTTGCTGCCGATTTTGTTTCTGTTGCTGCCGATGTTGTCTCTGCTGCTGCCGATGTTGTCTGGATTGTTGCTAACGCCCTTGTTCTTTCTGCTTCAGGGATGGTGTGTGAGTACCAGAAGCCTTCTGGACTGAAGTCTGGATCAAGGTCCGGAGGGTGTGTCCAGTCGGTGAAGTTGACGATGGCGACGCTGTCGGCAGTGCCAAGGTCAGGGACGAAATCAAGAACGAAGACGTTGTTCTTAAGGACCGCCCTGCCGATGTAGAGTCCTCCTTTCCCGTGATACAGCTTGAATTCTTGAGTGGTACTGTCTGCTTCAAGATGAATCCCCTTCGCCATCAGCTGGCTGACGCTCTGTAAGTTGTAGCCGAGTCCCTCCGCGATTAGTACCTTTGACATTTGTAGTACATCGTTTGTTTCCCTTGACTGAAGTTGAACTACGCCTTGTCGTCGTGTTCGCAGGTTTTGGTTGTTGGCGACTGTAATGACGACTTCGCGTTGAAGCTGGTGT